CTCCTGGGGAAGCTTTTGTACAATTGTAGAGAATTTTGTTTGCCCTGAAGAATCCTTTGTTAAAAATTCTGAAGGTTAGAACGTGCGCAAAGCTGATGTGATGCTCAATTTTTTTTTCTGCTAAGCCAAGCACAAAAACATTGAAATGCTTTTCAGATTATTGAGAAAATTGATAGTCTTCAACAGGCAAAACTCACCTTTCAGAACCTGACCATGGAAAAAAACCTTATAGGATTCACACTCCTTTAACTTTATTTTATAGTTAGGAAAAACAAGTTTCTACAGAGGAAATATAGAATCACAGCTTATCTGTTCTTCTAGAAATGATACAGAAAAACATGATATAGACATAAATTTGAATACATGTCATCAACCAGACACTACACACTGAACCAACAGTAGTTTCTCAGCCTTGCACATGGGATAAGGTTAATCCAATGTTCCTCATCTAATCTCATTCTAAATGCTACGCTGATGTGTAGCTGTGGACATCAACAGCAAAAACCAGAACAAACCTTGCAGGCAAGACAGCAAAACAGGCAATAAAAAAAAAAGAATGTTTTTATTTAATGACCCCAGACTTTGGGACTTGCCAAGTCATTTGCCTGTTTGCACCTCTGCCCCGGCCCCTGAAGGGAGCTGTTTACCTCTCAGGGCAATGTTTGGTGTGCCATCACTGCACTCAAGGATGGGAGAGCAAGTGTTTTAGCTGGAGCACTCACTGCTCCCTGTGGCTAATACTAACTGACACTTCTCACTGCTTGCTGTTGATGATAGTTTTGCAAAAGCTAAACTGGTTGGAGTGTAATAGTCCGTGCTCGACAAGTGCCTCGGGCCAGTATTTCAGCTGGAAGTTCCTGCTGGAACAGCCTGTCATTTTCAAGAAACGTTATATTTTTCTCTTCACCTTCTTTCCCTTTCTCCCCACCCTAGTAGACTTTGTTTCATCCTTACTGAAACACGGCTATTTTTTATTCAGCTCTCATGAGATTTCCATACACATGCTCAAGGCACTGGAGTTTGATGGTGTGTGCTAAAGGTCACCCAGCTACACATTAAATTAGTTTTTATGTCTATGAGCATTCACCTATGTTCAAAAAAGCCAAGTGATTGTCTTTGTTTGTTTGATTAGAAGTTTTAAGCCTACTGACTCTAATTTCCAGAGTACCAAGCTTTTTTAAAATATTCACGTGCACTGGACGTACAACAATTTAAGATTAATCAACATCATTTGGAATTCTTTCACCCAGGGAAAAGAGGAGGGTCTTAGAGTAACAAATTGTGTATGAAGAGCATAGTAAGGCAGAGCTGCATTTAAGTTACACAGGTAACCTATTATTTGATACTTCCCAGCTACATATCTGGGTCAATGTTTCAAAGAGGTGAACAGTCCAGTTCACCTACAGTTCAACATCTGTGTTGGTCAGTCCTGAAAAAAATTCAGCTGTGGGTGCAGCCTGCGTAGTGCTGCAAAGCAATGGGTGTTCACAGCTCTCTGCTTCTCAATTCTCCTCTCTCCCACGACTTTCCCTCTTCCCTGCCCTCACAATGCCACTTATTTAACCCTGCCACACGGTATCCAAGCACAGGAAAAGCCACACCTGTTAGTTCTTCACCAGGAATATGGTGACTTGAAATACAGCCTCAGTGTCTCTCCTCCCATTTTTGGAAGATCAGAGGAACTTCAGGGTGCCTGAAGGTAAAGAAGTTGAGATTTAAGTCAGAAATCAAACAGCCAACAACACTTTTGGTTCTTCCATACCTACTGTCTGAAGCAGACACTGGCCTTGTAAAAGAAGGCTTTTCTGTAGTCCACACATGCATTATGAGAAAGATTTGTGATTTTCATTTTCTCAGAGCAACTGAGTGAAGAGTGCCTGAAGAAGCTCATTAAAATATTGACATAAGGGGAAAAACAACTGGCATTTAATATTCAACCAAAAAATAAGTGCTAGATTTCTCTTTTGTGGCGTACACTCGTCAGAGAGAATCACAGAATGGTTTAGGCTGGCAGGGACCTTAAAGACCACTCAGTTCCAACTCCCCTGCCATGGGCAGGGACAACTTCCACTAGACCAGGTTGCTCAGAGCTCCATCCAGCCTGGCCTTGAACACTTCCAGGGATGGGGCAGCCACAGCTTGTCTGTGGGAGACACCAACAGAACTGCAAAGTAGCCCATACACGTTTGCAGAAAAGTCATGAAGAAAACTGTTCTCCTTCAAACTTTTCATTAAGTGCTACACCTAGTTAAGTTGAAAGCAAGTCTGCTACACTATAATGGACATTAAATTTTCAGTCACTGTAGCTTTTAGACTGCATGTCACGGGAGAGAGCGCTCATGACAGACATTGTGTGCATTTATTTTTCATATTTGACCATTGACAAACACAAATGCATGAGTTCCTGAAGTGTATGTCCCTGCACAATAGAAACAAGTGTCATTTTGGCAATTAAGGAAAGTCTTTAGGTTCAGCCTTGCTGAAGATGGAAAACACTCAAAATTACATGACATGCCTTTCTCTGTTATGGGTATTGTTTAGGCAATGTGGTCAAAGAGCTGTCAGCTCCCATCAGTGGAGTATTTCCCTTCCAGGGAAAAACAGCCTGGTGCAGTCTGCTTGGGCCATTTCCTCTCACCAGAAGAAGGGAGGGGGTCGGGAGGAAACAGAATTTTCTTCTAGCAGCTTTCCCAGGCAGGGATTTGGAGCATTTTATCACCACCCATAATTGGTTCGGTTCAGTCAACACTTCATATTCGGGCTCTCAGAACTGTATCCAAAAGGGAGAAATCTGTTTTCTTCAGATAAAGATTCATTTTGCAGTATCAAACCTAAGGCCTTGTCCCCACTGTGCATAGATCTGAGACTGAACACAGAGAGGGGTTTGCAACAGGATCTGACCATGGGAAAGCAAAGCTGCTTTCAGCGAGACCTGGTAGATTTGGGAGACTGTGAGCCCAAGCAGCCGAAATCCTAAAGGGTCCTCCCCAACATCTTTTGAACTGATTTACAAGTCTGACTTGAGAACTCCCTGACATGTATTTACAAAGCAAACAGCAGGCCTTTACGGGATATGAAACGGCTTTACAAAACCCAGGGTCCAAGCATTTCAAGGCCCCGTGATAGAGATTCGTTGACATAAAAGAAAGTTTCTTGTACTAAAGGCTTTAAAAGTTGGCTGCAAATTTTTGCATCCATTCCTTTCCCACACCTCACACACTCCAGTGACTCAGCCTGCTGCAGTTACCTTGTACTTTAACTTTTGTATCAACAACTTGTTTTAGAAAGATAAATATTTTCACAACCAGCAAACAAAATATTATGTCTTCCTTGCTACCAATACCAATGTCTCATTTTGTCTATGCTTGTATCTTTCATTTCCTTTTCTCCTCATTGTTTGTAATTTCAGCATTTGACCTAATTCTTACCACTTTCACTTGAGGTAACACACAAAAAAAGTACTTTAAAACAGAAAACACAGACCCCCCCAAATAACTCACAAATATTTGCCTAAATTAAAGATAGTTATGTACCTAAGAGGAAGGGACAGGCAAAAAAAGTGTAACTCAGTTGAGATAGATGCAATTTGGTGGGTTTATACTGAAAAAACAAACATGCATTTTATACAGAGTAACTTAGAAATCAGCTGCAGAATTATTTAGGGAGCCCAAAGCTGCTTTAGAATAATCTAAAAGAGTGATAAGAACTTCAAAACAATGTAGCTAAAATGTCAATATTTATTTAACATAGCAAGCGTTTCTCCTTTCTCAAGAATATTTTGTTTGTTAATTTAGGTACCAAAGGCTCTCTGAGAAAAGATGTCAATACAACTGTGCAAGTTTACCTGGTGGAAACCAAGATAACACTCCTAAAGAAGCCAGGATAAGGTAATTCTTGAAGTAGCTCAGAGCCCTGTGCCCCTACAGCAGGGAAGGACAGCCTGTGTGAATATATGGAGCTGCTTTTATTTTAGCTTCACCTGAAACACCTGGCTGGGACTTGAAAACACTTCATCTCTTGCCCTCACAGCAGGCCAAGAATTTCAGTATGGCAGCTGAAAATGCCAAACCAAACTTGGGCAAATATACCAGAGTGTTACATAGTGCTGCAGACTTCATATAAATCAAGACATAAATAATCCTTTCAGTCACTGCCTTCAAATGTATTTAACATATATAGTGACATATAACACATGTACTTCAGGGACCACAGGTATTTTGCAAAAGAGATGTCAGGCTGCCCCATGACTGGAAGTTAACACCAGAAGTCTGTGTTAACTGGGAACCGGAGGGAGAACCAACCGGGCTGTTCAAACACATGAATTAATGTCATCCTCTCGATAGATTTCACACCTTATACTCCACATTCCTGACACAGCCACGTGCTTCAGCACGAATTCAAAAAAACCGCTTTAGCCCCCAGGGAAGGTGGCACCACACCAGCACCGTCTGGAGTCCCTGAGGTGCTGTCCCCAGCACCCTGGCAGCTCTGAGAGCCCCTGCACTGCGGTACCACAGGGCTGTAACCATTAGAGCCCATCGGAGGGGCTCCAGAGCCCACGGCACTGAACCATCACGACAGCCCCGCAGCCACCCTCCTCACCTGGGCACCGACCAAACTCACCCCCAGGGCTAATCAAACACACCTACCCTCGACATCACAAATGATCCCGTCCATCCACGTCTCTCCACCGATCAGTTCTCCTTGCCCGGTCCAGGGGACCCGCCTTGTCCCTCGACGGTACCGGCACCGAGGGGGCTTCGCCTCAGCTCCCGGTCCCTTCGCACCTCCCGCCCCGCTCCCCTCGCCCTCAGCCGCGCCACCCCGGGGCACACCTGGCGGAAAGGATGCACAGTTCGCTAAAATCGGGGGAAGCCGATTGGGGGGATTTTAACAGCTGATTGCTCCGAGCCGCCTGTTTATCACCTCCTACTTTGGAGGCTCCTGAAATTACAGAATAACAACTTCGGCACCTCCCGGCGCGCGCTCCCCCCCTCAGCCGCGCTCCCGCCGCCCGAGTAACATCTGAGCTGACCCGACCTGACCCGACCGAAAGGGTTCGCTAAAATCAGGTGAAGCTAGTTGGGGGTATTCGAACAGTTGATTGCCCAGAGCCGCCCGTTTATCACCTCCTGCTTTGGAGGCTCCTAAAAGTACAGGGTAAGAACTTGGGCACCTCCCGGCGCGCGCTCCCCCCCTCAGCCGCCCTCGCGCCACCCGAGTAACACCTGAGCTGACCTGACCCGACCGAGAGGACACGGGGTTCGCTAAAATCAGCTGAAGCTAGTCGGGGGTATTTGAACAGTTGATTGCCCCGAGCAGCCTGTTTTCCCACCTCTTACGTCGGAGGTTCCTAAAAAATACAGGATGGGAACTTACACGCGCCTCCCGCCGCACGCTCCCCCTCAGGCCTGAGGCGCGCCTCAGGCCCTCCGGTCCAGGGCCCACTCTCCCCCCCCTCAGCCGCGCCCGTCCCAGTCCCGATCCCGGTCCGGGAGCCGCGCCCCTCAGGGAGGAAGTTACAGGGAGTCAAGTCAGTGAGAGACGCCGTGGAAAGGAGAGCGATTACAGACCAGAGGCAAGAGCGGTGGCAGGAGATGGACGCGCCCCTGACCCCTCGCTGCGGACCGTGCACAGAGCGTACCTGTGCAGGCTGCGCAGCCCCGGCCAGCTGCCTCCAGCTCTTAAACATGCTGAAAAGCGGCAGCCAGCAGAGTTTATATAATATACTGTGGTCCTTGGAGTCATAGAATCACAGGACAGTTCGGGTTGGAAGGGACCTTAAAGCTCACCTGGTTGCTCCAAGCCCTGTCCAAACTGGCTTTGAATAACCAGGGATGAGGCAGCCACAGCTTCTCTGGGCAAAAACCCGTGCTGGTGCCTCACTCAGATTTTCATAATTCCCTAATTCCTTTATGAAACATTCGGATTTGCTCATTTTATCAAGATTATATATAAAGCACACCTCCTCCTCCAATGGGACAAATAGATTAAAAAAAAAATAAATCTATCAGTTCATCCAACTTTTCCACTAACACCCCTGAACTGATTTCTTTTCCACTGGCACCTCTGTCTGAACTTTTGTTCTAAAAGCATTATTTTCCATGTCTTGTTGAATTTTTTTTTTTTTTTTTTTTTTTTTTTTTTTTGGTAGGCAAGTTTTCCATCTACTCTTAAAACTGTCTCATAGCTCCTTGCCAACATCCAGTCTCTGAAGACCAGGCATTTCTGTATTGCCTTTGCTGGCCATTCCAACCTCTGGTCTGGAAGTTCCCAGAGTATGGTATGTATGCGGGTACTTGACTTTCTCATTTATCTACACCTCAGACACCACAAACATCACTGTGGGCTTGTGCAAAGACAATGACCAGAGCAGAACTGGAGAGCAGAATGCATTTTGGCAAACCCCAAAATGACCTGGCTTTCACAGCTTCACTTTTATGAGACCCCAGCTATATATTTAAAATCCTATTTCCTAGACTGTTGTGTCATAATGTCATTAGTAATAACAATATTTTCAATCTTACTACCTGTAACCTTACCCATATAACCTGGAAATATCAGTAATCCCTAATTAAAGGCTGGTAAGCGGCAACTGATGGCAAAAGAATTGATAATCCACTCAAAACAATGAAAAGTCTTCGTGCAGTCTCAGCTCTAACAGAGAAAGTTGGGGGGGATTTAACAGAGTTTTGCACCAGTGCTAAACTCAGCATGTTTTGTACTCCGTGTTTTGCAATGCTCTGCACATTAAGGAAAAGCACAATTATTACCTGCTTCCAAAAGTTCCATCTTGAAAATCAGTAATGGAAAGGCTAAACAGGATTAAATAGGCCAATATAAACCTGAGAGAAGAGTTCCATGTGAAGGTGAGAAAAATTAGCCCCAGTTTTGAAGGAAACGTTTACCAAACCTTCAGTTGATGCTTTTCATGGCAATTACTGGCATAGTTTTTATGAACATCTTGAAGATTAGCTTTCCTCAAAAGGCCCATCCCATTTCTTTGGTGATAAAGCTGATGGGATTAAGAATAAATCCATTACTGTGAATAATGCATCATGTGATGAGTTATATTGGTTGAGTCTGAGTAACCTCCCTGTCAGAGGTAAATTTAGCACAGGAAATAGTGCCTACCCACTTTGCAGAATCCAGTTCAGTCACATTAAACTTAAATGTGTTACAGCAGAAGACATCAGGCATGGCTTTTCCAGCAAAACACAGTAAAGGAGATTGCAAGTCATGAATGTTTCACAGAAGTCAAGTTAATTCTAGCATTAAGAATCAGCTTTTTGTCGGTACGATGTACGACACTCAGATTTCAGCCTGCACCACACTGGGTGTTCATACAAGGGAACACTCCATTAGTCAGCTCCCAGTAGGCCCCTGGCTTATTCCTGTCTTGTAGGAATTTTAACAGCATGTTTCTAAGCACAGCCTTCTCTCAGCCTTTGGAACATCACAATTTGCAAGCAAAGCAAAATAGGGGTTAACAATAGTTGGAGGAAAACACTCATTGTAGCAGTTAAATGTGCATTTGTTACCTTAATCATACACTGGTATGGAAATATTATTTGTGTGCCTCTGTAATTTATAATATACATTTTACAACATATAACTCTATAATCTATGTATACATAAAACCTATCTAAAATATATGCATTTATAATTCATAATATGTAATTATATAACCAAGTTTTAGCTTCTTGAAAGGAAAAGCTCATTTACATTTTTACCAGGTACCTCAGAAACTTGGAAATGCTACAGATTAGCCTGATCTATTTTGACTCAGATTATTTATGGTCTGACTAAATGGCAGCATGTACCCCCCGGGATGTGAAATATAAGGAAAGATCTAGCACACTTGGAAGTGATTTTGTTTAATTCATGCAAATCTATAGGTCTCAGGAATGGGTTTAAGATTTTCTTCATCTAATTTTATGTAGCTTCTTCCCGTTTTACTGCGTTGCTGTGCTCAAGGGGCCACAGCCCAGGGAAAAGTGGTTCTGTTTTGTTCATGGCATTTCAGGCTTAGGGCCAAATGAAGCTCCACAGGTGTAAATAAAGAGCAGACTTGGTTCTCAATGTCCTTTGTGCAAGACTTGAAGCTTAACTCATAAGAGTAAGAAAAAAGTGGACTGAGTTCTCGCCTTATTTAATTCCCCTAGTACTACTCTGTTGTTTAATCACATTTCTGTAATTGCAGAACCCAGGAAAAGGCTTAAACTTAGTCCATTTGGCTGGAGTTCGTGCTTTTAAATTTAGATCACACTCTTTAAATATACCCTATATATAGTTCTATGGCCAGGAACTGACTGTTAATCTATCTAACACTATAATTATTCCTGTCATTTAGCTTACAGCTTCTTCTTTGAACAGAGCACTCCAGAAAGATCCCTGCTCAGAGGCCTTTCTGTTGAACAAGGCTATAGTTTAGAAGGTCCAAAATATTGCTGATATATGAACTGGCAGTTAAAGTCTGACAATATATGTACTGGAAGCCCCTGGCTTATCTTCAGCAGCAGAAGTATGCCAAGCTGTAAGTCTGGTAAATATACATGATGATCCTTTTCCTTGGATGGATTGAGTACTAAATGTCCATTTATTTTTCCCAAATGAAAAAAACCCCCAAACAACAATATTGAAAGACAGATTTTTTAGGTTTTGCCTCACAACTACGTAAGACTTTTCTGTTTCAGAGAATTGCTCCTGTTTTTATTGAAAAAAAGGAAGTTTAAAAGCCATCATTCTATGTCTCCATGCAATTTATCCTTGTGTCAGGTGCCACCAAAACTAAAGAAGGAAAACCCTTGTAATTTAGAATTTGCTCATTAACTATAATTATGAGATAGACTCTGAACTTGAGCTGTAGAGGAAGCAGAAATGGCTTCAACAACACCCACTGCAACAATTTTGCTCTGTGGGAATTAACACAGACAGCACAAAATAAAATGTTTAAAAGTTCAGAGATGAGCTTTTCTTGCCCAAAGAAGTAATTTAACTGAGAGCAATTCATCACACTTTCAAAACTGGATCCTGGTCCTTATAGTGGAAAAACACCATCAATATGTTCTTTAGCCAGCAGGATGTAGTTTGCTTTTTTAAATGTAAACTGAACCAATCTCTGTTGAACAGGTACCTTGGGCTGCCTGGCCTAAAAGCATATTAACTGGTTGTAATGCAAGACATCTTCATCTTCATGCAAACTGTTAATATTTAATTTAGGCATGCACAGTGAGCAAATACGTAAGTGTATTAATTCCTTTGCAGTTCTCTGATGTATACAGCAGCTCTGTGATTTGATTTGAATTGATTTTGCTGCTAACTCTGGTGACCTCCAATAAAAAATTGTTGCATTCACCACAAAGTGATTTATGATGGCAAAACTCTCTATTATATAAATACTTTCCAATGCATTAGTCAGAAATCCACTATCTTACTTCATTAAACCAACAAATATAATCAATTCTTATCTGATTTACCGTTTTTTATGCAAGGAAAAATGATTTTACCTTTATGCCAAATGGAGTTAAAATGTAGATCATGCAATATGAAACGTCCGTGCCTCAGTCTGTAAGTGCCACTAATCAAAATCAGCGTCCACATTCAAGATTTGAGCTCTGATCACAGTCTGGCTTGCACATTACAGGAATTAAATGCATATGCATGTTTTGATAAACAGTGCTGAGCATTAGCACTGTGCCTTCTTGCAGTTAAACAGCCACCTAGTTTTAATCACAATGGAAAATGAAAGGCATCTGAGCATCCAATAAATGACATTAGGAGACAAAGTGTTTCCTACCAATTAGTTATGTGCCTCTTCTTTCAAAACATCCCCAAGTACTTTACTATCTGACTGCACATGCTTGTGCACTGATACGTGCATCTTGGAAATATTATACACAGGAATCACTTCAGCCATATCTGAATTGCAGATACAGGACTTGCTTTCTATATGTATGGAGACAGAGAATAACACATTTTCAGAAGTAATGCATCTTTTAATTTAGAAGGATGGATGTGCTGCTGAATCTATGACTCCTCATTACAACACAGAGTCAATAAAAAGAGCTCTCATCCAACTACTGTGGGGATCCATCAATAATCCTGCCAGAAACACTAAACACTTCTTTGCTGTAGTGTCCCTCTGGCCCAGTTATTTGGATAATAATTTTGAAGTAAAACTTGTTAGGGGGGAAGTATTTGGTAATTTTTCCAAAACTGATGCTAGCCCCTAGAGCAGGGGGGGACAATGAAGGTTTTAAAAACCTAAAGCAGAAAATTAAAACAATTCTATGTTTTCTGTGCCTGAGTGATTTACTTATTGAGATACTATAAAGAGGAGAGTAGGAGAGGGAGGGTTCTGAGTGTCCTCTTCCTTTGGCAGCTGTGCTTTACAAAGACTTGAGCGAAATAATCTCAGCCCTCTGGAGATGACCTCCAGGCTCACCAATGGAAGGGGACACTTCTTGAGGAGTATCTTGTACGTGACAGAACTCACCATGTCCTGGACTTTGGACAGCTCCCAGTAACTGTGCACTGGCCAGTCTGACTTCAGGAGACTTCTTTGGTGTGTTGGCTGCATTGAACAAGTCCAGAAGTCAGCCACACACCACGTTACTGCAGCACTTGGCTCACGCTCACATCTCGCTGAGACACAGCCCGGGCACAGCTCCGCCGTAACCTTGCGCTGTCTAGAAAGCCCAGACAACCTGCATGGGCTCTGAATGCTAATGCAGGGGCTGGCTGCCCAAACACGAGGCACTGTGGAGCCTGAGGCCTTGTTAAGATTCCATGCAAAGATGAATGATTAATAGCAAATCCAAGTCATGCTCCAGATTCTGCTGACGCACACACACGCCCCGTTCTCCCGCACTGAGCATGGCCCCGGCGTAGGGGAGGCTCTTGCTCTGGCTGCTGCAAGGGCTCTACATTTCTCTAACAGTAATTGTACCTGTGCAAAGAGTACATTGTGTAAAACCTGTCTACGTGCTGGCTTTGCACACACCCGTACCAGGCCCAGCAGGCATCACCTTTGTGACTTCCAGCAACAAAAAACCCATTCAGTCAACATCTGAGCTAAAGGAACAGCTCACACAACCAGCCATTGCCAGCCCTCCTGTTCTTTGTCAGCACAGGTTAGACATCAGTGGGAGACTATTATCAACACACTTAGCATTACATAACTTACTAGACAAGTTATTTTTGAGCATTTAGGAGTCTCAACACCTCTAGTTCCACGGTGGGTTTTTTTCTGTAAGAAACAGCAGGACCCTATATAGACAC